CTAGGTAGACAATGGTGATATCATTGAGCACATGTTGTCTATTTCACTTCTATGTACCATTAATTATAAATTCACATTTATGATTTGTTAACTTTTGGTTAGTTATTATGATGCAACTTTAATTGACGTGTTAATTTATAATTAGTGACACATATAAGTGGCATAAACAACTTGTGCTAATTGCAGCTCGTTTAACTCATATGGTTATGTTTCAAGTATTTTTCTGACTGTTAGGTAAGAACTCGGTAAATGTTTATTGTGTGAAGAGACCTAGATGGTTCCATATTTCACTGCTCTTGTTATTTAAGAGGTTGTGTCCTTATTTTTATGGAGGAACCAACGCAAATAAGAAGTGGTTGTAGAAGATTATGATGCACGTTTTTGATGTCTTCCATGAAACACTTTACACACCAACCTTATGGTTATTGTAATGTCAATATCACCAGAGTAGCAAATTAAATATTTGTCCATTAGATTCTTCATTACTACGACATGAAAAAGAACTTTGGCTTTAAAGGGGAACCCTGAAATACAACTTACATCTAGTTCACTATTTCATTTTCAGTGGTGCAAGTTTCTAGTTTCTAGCTTTTTAATTTCATTGAAGTGATAATGACCATTCAATTTTGTCCCACGTATTTTTATAAAAGAAAAAATAAATAAAATTTGAAAAGAGTAAATTTTTTTATGTCACGTAACCAATTTTATATTTTTTCTAATTTTCAAATCATAATCAATGGACAATGGTCAATTAATTAAGAATAGTTTCATTTCAAATGTATGAATTTAAAAATCATTATTATGAGATGTTTAGTATTTTAATATTTGAAAAGTCATTATTATAGGTGGTTTTGTTTCATTTTGAATTTTAAAAATAAAAGGTCTTAACATTAATTGATGAGAGGAACATCATTTATTTTTAACTTGGGTCAAATCTCTCCTCAAAGCACCAAAAGACCCAAAAAAATCATGGCTAATTCAATTGCTACCATGCATTCTCCTCACCTTTCTCGGTTTTCTATATATTAATCACAAAAAATATAATGATAGTTTCAAATATTTTGAGAGAAATCGAAATTGAATTTTACATCTTCCTAAATCACATAACTAATTTCTAACAATAATGATAATTAACACTATATAAAATCTTTGTTGCCATTTGCAACTTTTGGTGAGCTTAGCTTGGTAATAATAATGTATGAGTGTTCCCTTCATGGAATATGAATGAATCAATCACACTCTGGATTTCGCTTTCACCGACTAAAAATCCATAAATCCAATCCAGTAATAGATTGTAGAGATGTAACTTGCAATGCTCTCAAATTAAGGTCATATAACTCCTAATCAATTTTGTCTCATGCTCCCACTAGATGTAGAAAAAATAAAATGATATCAAAGTCCCATCATGCTTTAAGATAATCTTAATAAGTAATTGTCTACCAATAGTTCTTAATTACCTTATTATATGATACTAGGAGTTGCATGCGTATGAAAAATTATATAGGTAAAATCAACTTTGTTAATTGTTAATTGTTAATCTATATGCTTTTGAAAGCAATTTGATTGAAACATATCCTTGGTACCCACAAAATTAAACACATACTTTGATCTTGAAAATTAGAAAAGTGTTTATGTATCTAGAAGAACACAAAATTTGAAGATATTAAAGGTCTTCAAGATAGAGCCGTAATGAAATTTAAAATTAAAAGGAAAAAGACAACTGATACAGCAAAAGAAAAGAATCAGGAATTATTAGGCGGAACACTTGATGAATTTCAATTAACATAATCAAGTTATAATAGACTTTGGTTATGATAACACTAACTTTAATAATCATGGTCTCATGAAGACAAGTTCATTTATTTATTTCGTTTGTATAAATGTTGCCATAACTTTTTTATTAAAGTTATTTCCCCATTTAAGTTATGACAAAACTTATTATTAAAGTTCAATTTCTTCATCCATGTTATCCATATTCTGTAAGAGATGTAATGTTATGAAACAAAAATAATTTTCCCATATAACGAAATATTATAAGCATACATATATTTTGTATAAATATGCACTAATGACAATATAATGGTTTTTTTCACTGTATCAATACTTATATTAAAAATCAAGGTACCATTAATAAAAAAAAATCCTCAATTTTTAAATGCATCTGACAGGCCTGGTTTGAGTACAACAATATAGGGCATAAAAGTGGATGAAATCACTTATCCTAAAATGATGTCCCCAATCCTGTCTCAACTAATTAGAGAATGAAAATGAAAAGTCATGGGAATACTTTTTTTTTAGTAAAGAGTGATGTAAATTTTTAAATAACGTGACACAATATTATTGACTGAAATAAGGTTGATGATATCATTTTGGGACACGTAATTCGTATCCATAAAAAGGTTGATAAAGAGAGATATTTGCACACGTTAAAATTAATCACACAACCCCAAAAGGTCACAACCATGTTCATTATGTATATCTCTACCTCCATCTCATAGCCTCATTACTTCACCATAGGTTAAGTTTTTCACTATATTCCAGAAAACTAGCTTGTAGCTTGCAACTGTGAAAATAGTTAGAAGTTTATATATGTAAATGTATCTTATTGAACTAGAATTGTTAGATAAAACGAGTTTTGTAATTGATTGAAATTTAGAGAATGACTAAAAAAGATATACATTATTTATTTTGTTATTTATTAATTGAAGTAATTAAATATATAAATAATTTAAAATAATATTTATTTTTATATTTTAGTTAGAATTCGATATATAATTTTTTATTTTTTTTATTTTAATATATATTTTTGTTTTCAATATTTTTTCCAAAAAAATGCATTTAAGTTACATAAGTTATAATATTATTCCACCATTGACATTCTATATCATTAAAAAATATAATACGAAAAATATTTCATACATTCATTTAACAATCATTGCAAGAATAATATTTCATCATCTTCTAGTTTGATTCAAACGACAAATTTGCATTATGGAATCTTCACTCGATTTTTTATAAAGACAAATTTTTCATTGGATCTCGTAGTTCGGATCATAAGGAATTCTTGTATCATCATAGAAACTCGAGCAGTATATCCAAGTCAAATCATGGAGTATTATAAGGAAACTCAAATAAGCTTGTTTCAAGACATACATAACTATTATGGTTGTATTTCTTTTCAAACCAATCCTTCCATTTTGGACAAGGCATTTGAAAATGTCTAATATTTCTATGAGGAGGGATCCATTACACTAATAGTAAGTTTTTTAAACTTATTTCACATATTAGCCATCAATTCTAGGGAAATCCAATGGTTTGAATTAGTGATTATATCTAAACCATTGAATTTTTCTAAAATTGATGACTAAGATGTGGAGTAAGTTTAAAAAACTTACTATTGGAATAAGTTGTTCCCCATCCTATTTCTATATAAACAACATTTGTTGTTATGATGTTCCTTCATTATGGAATCTTCACTCTTTCACTATGGTTTCCTCTTAAACTAGCACACTACACAATTCATGTACATTCCATTTATCTTATATGGTATTATAGTACATTTGGGAAGATCACATTTAGACATAAATGAAATTAATAGAGATGAGAATGTTTGTCATTTGACATGTTAATACATAATACGAGAATTATTAACTTAATGGTGGTCAATGTACTCATTAATGTCCCGACAAGAGATTTATTAATAATTTGGGAGCACTATTTCATAAACTTCATCATTTCTTTACTAATTTCGGTTTTAGGAATAAGAGACTTGATATTCTTAGTAGTACTCATTCACATGTATTTTAATCTTAGCCTTAGGAATGACACAAAAAACCCGACTTATAGGTACCTGTAAAAATACATACAATGAATATCTATAATAATAAGTTATAAGTGAGAACGAGTTCTATGATACTCACCACATAAATACCCATACATTTATACATTGATTTTTTAATTAATTATAATATATATAATTAATATTTTAAAATTATATATTATATATTTTATTATTATTGGACTATAACCATAAATTTATCACAAACCATGTATATATATATATATATATATATATTTACAAATTTTACAATGGACATTTTATTCCTTTGTAAAGTAAAATTAGACTTGTCTACTTCATTCAAAGAAGTTAAGAGCAGGAAGTAAAATTAGGTTTTTGGGCCGTAACCCACAAAACCCTAACTATTATATTGGTTCGTGTTGGATTGTTCCATTGGGTTAGTCATATCAATTTTTTCTCCCATTATATCTTAACCTAGTTTTAATTTTAACTTTTAAAGTCCTTCCCCTATCCCTGAAACCCTAATCCAAATTTTGTCTCTCCGAAGTATCACGCATCATTTATTGTTTTTTTCTTCTTCTGAGGAGTGATTTGATGATGTGGTAAATGTGTTGATTTGGTTATTGTGAAAGTGATATTTGTTTGGTTGTTCAACTCTGTAATGTCAAACTTTGGCTTTAATTTTCCGCCTAAGATTTTACATTTTGAATGCTGTATTCGATTGAGCATATTTTTAAATGTTTAGTACACTTCGCTTCTGCAAATTTTTTCTCTGTATTTTTGCTTCTGATACAGCGATATATGTTTGTTTTATACATGTGGATGTTGACTTTGATTATTGCATAGAGGGACTATCATGCATATTCTCTTTTGCAACATGTTTCTTTTATACATAGGAAAATGTTACTTTTTGAGCCATTGTATATTCATGGGGTAGCATAGAAATTGAATCCAATGCAATTATCTATTGATATTTACAGAATTGCAGTTAATCTGAATATGTTGAAATTGAAATTATTAACAAATCTAAACATTTTGAGATAGATCCTAGTTAATCTGAATGGACAAATCTTAGCCTATGTTTTTTCACGTTGATGGAGCTCAAACATGCGCTTTGGAAGCTTTTGCTTAAAATTTGATGTATTTTTTGGGGGTACATAATGGATTTGTATATGACGGTGCAAAGATAGTGCATGTGATGGTTTTACACTTGATCTCTGAACTTCAGGTAAGTTCCTGTGTTGACAAGTTCATTCTTTGCACTTAATTATTAATTTGTGATGTAGAGTTTAAGCTTCATGATGTACTTTTTTGGGTGTGTATTAGTGGTCTAGTTGATGTGTATTAGTGGGTATATGATGGTGCAAAGATAGTGCATATGATGGTTTACACTTGATCTCTGAACTTCAGGTAAGTTCATGTTGACAACTTCATTCACTGATGCTCTTTCTTTGCACTTAATTATTAATTTGTGTTGGAAATTTTACATCTAGCGATTTTTATTTTTGTGTGTGTGTAACCCAAGTGGATATAATGTTTTGCAAAGATAGTGCATATGAATTTAGGCCTTATAATTCGATGTTATGAAATTGGTGAACCGATCCCTATACTGGTGCCGTACATTAATCATATCGGTCAAAACCAGTCATATCAATCATACCTTCTGATTTTCATTTTAAATTATAATTTTTTTTTATGAAAGTGACATTTTTTTTTACCAAAACATTATGGATGATCAAGTTCATTCCCAGACCCTTTCTTTGCATCTAATTACTAATATGCAATGGAGGGTAACATGGACGCATTTTATAGTATTTAAAATGTTTATAGATTTAAAGTTATGGCTATATGTTATGCGTATGTTTCTTGTAAACAAATACTATGATTACAAAGTGGTGATTAACTATAAAAGAAAATGTTCTTAATGTAATGCTTTGCCTCGAAATGCAAAATCGATCATCTCTGCTAAAGGTTTTTTGATCCACCAAATTTGTAATACAAAATTTCTATGTCAGCTGTGTCAACGTGTCAGCTCTGTATTTAAGTCCACCAAATTCTAATACAAAATTTATATGTTGAAATATTCATTAAGTATTCTCAGAAAATGTGGTAACATTTTCCATATTAGACTCACCAAATTTCTTCCCCGAGTAGCTTCAGTACACGACACCTGAGCTTTATGGTGTTTTTATTTGTGAGGCAGATATATTCAAATAAATGAGTGGTTATATGACTGAGAAATTGATAACTCATACACCTGTTAGGTGTTGATGTGAGTATCAAATTTTAGATACATTTACTTTTACAATGCCTTTAGACAACATAACATACACCTCTTAGGATGATTGTGAGACATATAATTCTTCTTTTTTATTTTGAAATTTTTACTCTAAAGAGACATTGTAAGTTTTGAGGGGATGTATTTTTTGTATTTTGAGGATGTAGAATTTGTGGGATCATGCAGAAGGAATGGTGGGATAATGGAAAATAGATAATTGGGTAACCAAAGCGGGTAATTATTTTGATCATACTGAGGATCTAGTGTGATATTACACCATTAGACTAATACATTGTTTGTAAAATAGAGAGTTGTTGGATATGCCACATTTTGTATTCCTATGTGAAAAAAGTTTGGACCCTTAATTTAATTACATGAACTTGATTATCAAAGTTTAAAAAAAATTAGTAGATTAAAGCAAATTGCGATGATAAAATAAAATGTTTAGAAGTAATCAACAACACAACAAAATGTCTCTTATAAATCGCGAGAATGTAAAATAATTTTTATTTTTTAACTCCGTCATTGTTACTAAATAGTCAACAATACGACAAATTTAAAGAAAGAGTAGAACAATATATTACTTTTTATATAAAGATAAAATTAGTTGTACAAGTAAAATAATATTTCATTAGCAATGATGATGAGAAGGAAGATTAAATCATAAAGTTGAAGATGCTATGAATTTTTCAGAAAATGTAATATATATGGTGTGAGTATTTATACATAATCAATATATTATTTATTTATTTATTTATATCAGTGTTGTGATAACTGAACGGTCCGACCGATTCGATTGCTGATCGGACTTCAAAACGGTTCCGTTTTGTAGTCTTAACCGAATGAGTAGTTGGAACGCTTTGAACCGGAAAAATTCCGGTTTGATCATGCTAAACCCGGTTAAACCGGAATAACCCGAGAAAAAACTGGACAGTTCACTTAGAATTTATAACAATGGAACATTACCCTAATGTTTTATTTTATTTCGGTCCAAAAAAAGATAGAGATATGTTACTTTAATATAGTTATATAAAATTATTAATTATATAAAATTTTACGATAAAAATTATTAATTATATTTAAAATCATCTGATCCGACCGGACGACTTAATTGTTTAAATTGGTTAGACCTAATACGGAAACTCTTCCGGCTTGACGCCCGACTCGGGTTTCACAACATTGATTTGTATTAGTGAAAATATTCAATAATAATTTAAGATGAATGATAAATAATACAATGATAATTTATTAAATTCATTCACATTTTTTTTTAGAAGTTGGTAAGTTGAATTAATTTTGGGTGGCAATGATCATCATGTGGTTGTGCCTAGACCAAAAATACAATTAACACCAAGATAGCATGCCTAAGGATATAACCATTGTCAATTGTCATAAACTTGCAACTTATCATGCTGTCTCATACTCTCATCACATGTTTGAATAACGTTTTTGTTTATCATCAAGTTTTTCTACCTGTCATTATCAATGCAGGAAAAAAAATAAAGTAAATTGATTCTCTTCTCTATTCCCTTTTCCTTTTACATCTCTTCTTCCCCTTGATCCGTGCAAGAAAAGAAAAGCAGATAAATAAGGAAAAAACAATACAAAAAAAGAAGAAATAAAAAGGCATGTAATGCATTGAGACCATTTTTTTTAGTATAACATCATCAAATGAACAAGGAATAATAATTAATTTTAAGAATCTAACATTTTACCTAACTACTAACTATACATGAGAATGAGAGAATCCAATGAAAACTTGTGAGTTTAGAACATCAATCTCAAATTTTAATAAATTTTAATTTTTTGTGTGTAAAGAATGCAAGCGAAAAAAAAAGCGTGAACGAGCAAATACGTGCAGATGAAGGTGGGAAAGACGGGCACGCCCACTCTTAACAAAACCGAAAATCCAACTCAAAAAATACTTAAAATTCAATTATATAATAATTATTTTTCCTTACAAACACAAAGTTAATAAAAGCAGCAAGTACTATTTTCCACCACTTTACAGAAAATCGATTATCTCTAACCAACTCAGAAGCAAAGAAGAATCAGAAGAAGAACGCTTTTGAGTTGAATTGGAGAACAAAAAATGGATGATGAAGTTGTTCAACGAGTTTTCCATGAAGGAGGTCGCGATTACTTTCAACAACAACCTTCAACTTCTTCATCTTCTTCTATCCTCCAATCTCTCCCTCTTCATGTGGTATATATATATATATATAACACTCAATCTCACCTCGTCTTTCATTTTCGATTTTCTCATTGTTACACTCTTCTTAAGCAACGGTTCCTCGTAAATTGCGGTTTCGATTAATCGAATTTAGTGTTTGTGTGTATAGTTGCTGAAATCTATTCGTTTTTCTTCTTTCTCTTACTTTTTAGGGTTAGCGTTTGATAGTTTTACATATCGAGAAGCATACCTAATAACCAGTTAGCTGTTTTCTTATCACTATGTTGTGTGTTCTGTGTTTGATAGCTGTTCCATAGAGATGTTGATTATTATGTGAAGATTTATATATTGCAGTTTGAATAGTATTGAGTATTGACACCGAATTAACACTGGATTCAGTTATTGAAAGATTGCGGCGTTGTCATATAGGTTCCGAAGTTTTCTGTCACTAATTAAGTCCTTGGACAAATTTTGTGTCATTAGCTTAGTTGATGACAGAAAACTTCCAAGGACCTATCTGGTGATGCCATAACCTTTCTAGAAGTGAATGAGTTGAGAGTTTACTATGTTGATATTAATGTATGATCTATACATTGAACTTTACTTGTTTAATTCTCATGATTCATGAAATTGTTGGGTGAAATGGTGCAGTCTTTTGATCATGGCTATTATTTGTTGGTAAAATCTATACAAGAACTTCGAGAGAAAAAGGAGGGCCTTGTCACAGTTGGCATTGGTGGTCCAAGTGGTTCGGGTAAAACAAGGTATTGATATTTTTACCAAAATACTATCTTCAGTGTGTTTCAGTGAATTAAGGTGTATGCTGTTGCTTTGGTTTTCTTTTAATTGTTTTGTTTTTTCGTGGTCTCTCTTGAAGCTTAGCAGAAAAGGTGGCATCTGTTATTGGTTGTACTGTTATATCAATGGAGAATTATCGTGATGGAGTTGATGAAGGAAATGATCTGGTTTCTATAGATTTTGATACTCTGATCAAGAATCTTGAGGTTCACAGTTCCTTCTCTTTTATGTTAATATTGCTAAAATGTGAGTCTACCCTCTTTAGATCTCACTAGGTGGAAACTTCGTACAACGGCCGCCATTTTATGGCTAAAATGTTGCTCTGGCTTTTTTATAATTACTTTGGTGGTCTGAGTTTGCATGTCTGGCCCTTATTAAGTCCTTGAATTTTGTGCGCTACTTCTTGGTCTTTTCAAGCCTTCTATTTTTCATTAGCAAAAGGTAGTCTTCCCATGTTCTGCAACATCACAAAAAATTAAAAGAGAAAAATAAGAATAACAATAAGGCCATAAGGGATAGAATAACAATAGATAGACATTATAGCTACTGGTTTATCATGTTAGACTGCTGGTGAAGTGACTATTCACTTGTTTTCTATTGGGTTTAAACTGACTAGATTATGTGTCAGTTTAGCATGTTCAGTTTGAGACTAGCTCTTGGTTTTAGGCGGAAATGCAAATTTGTAGTACATCTTGGTTTGTTTAAGATTTTTTGTTTTGTATGAGACTTTGTTAACACACTTCTTTGTTGCTTTTAGGATTTGACTGAAGGCAATGACACTTCAATCCTGGTGTTTGACGATCCGCAAAAGAGACGTGTTGGCTATAAAGCAATAAAGAGTGCATCATCTGGGGTGGTAACATAGCTAATTTTAGAGTGCAATTTTGAATTAGCTCCTTGTTATAATTTTTTTTAATCACAACTGGTTTCAGGTAATAGTTGATGGTACATATGCTTTGCATGCTAAACTGCGCTCTTTATTGGATATTCGAGTTGCTGTGGTAAATTTTTATGGTTATTATAATTTTATGGCTTTCCTTAAGCTATCCATTTCTGATAAATATAAAAATAATACATACTTGAGGTATTGATAAACCAGGTTGGTGGTGTTCATTTTAGCCTGCTTTCTAAAGTTCGCTATGACATTGGGGATTCTTGTTCACTGGATTACCTTATAGATAGCATTTTTCCATTAT